GATCCAACTAGGATCGAAACGTTTGTTCACCTTCTGATTGTCAAATTATATTTTACGTTTTTAATTTATGACATAGTTTTATTTCAAAAAAACTTTTTTAACTACTCATACAGCTTGTCAATTTATGTTTTAGACTCGTAGCCCTTTTTACTTTTATTTATTTTGATTTATTGAGCCTTATTATTTTATAATTATATAATAAATTTCAATATTCTTGCTTACTTTTTATTGCTCAAACGCTACGAATTTTTTAATATCTTTATCCAAAGATCATAATATAAAAAAAATACTATTCCTTTTATTTACACTTTTTTAACAGAAATCCCCTTTTTTAATAAACTCCTTTGGATTGAAATACACTCGCACTCTGAATTTATAGTTATCGATGAATTAATGATGTACACTCTGTGCGTGCGTGCGTGTGCGCGTGCGTGCGTGTGTGCGCGCATGCGTGCGTGCGCGCATGCGTGCGTGCGCGCGTGCATGCGTGAGGAATATAGTCTTATCTCATTTTGTCAGAGAAGAAAACTTCCAGTTGTAAAATAAACATTTTACCAAACGCGGTCATTTTTAATAGTATAGTTTCTAGTTTTTCTTAGTATTATATGCTGCATTAGGGAGTAGAAAATTATAATTGCATCGTGCCAAGAGTATATATACAAAAGTCTCGAGAGATATACATATAAAAGTCGAAAGAGAGTATACATATAAAGTTTATCTATTTTCTTATCTGAACGTTTCCATTTTTAATTATTCTCACATCGTAAATGGAAATTAAGACATAATACAAGTTCAATTCCTGATGAACTGGTCTGCGAGAAAAACACGACGCGACTTGGACAATACTTTGATTAACTTATTTTAATGCAAATAAAAGTATTAATTCCTTTGTTGTTGAACATGTGGAAAAAGATTAAATATCAGGTATTACAAATCGTATAATCAAATTTTTTCTGCTGCGAAAAATTATTTTGTTGATTGAATTAATTAACATAATCGGGATTTTCGAAATAAAACGTTATCGTTAAAACGATTGATGAACAAAAATTATTTTTCGACTGTGGAAGAAAATTCTCTTTGTATCAAATATCAACTTGATAAAAAATGATTGTTTTTCGTCTGTTTTTACATCGCAATGTCTTTGACGGATAAAAATTTTATTAAAAAGAGAAAGTATCTTTTTTTTGCTGATGATATTATACTTTACGAATAATTTCCAGATTGCTCCACCAGATATCGCAGAAGTATCGTCGAAAATTCGAAATCCGTGGAGTTGGAGAGTGGCGTTGGCAATGTTGTTCTCGAATCATTTAGGAGTACGTCTTACCGATTAATCACAATTAAATAAAGGTAATAGTAAATTATTCGCAATGTCAGAAACATCATAATCAGAGTACAATTCGTCCGATGAGAAGGTGAGTATCACGATTTCCTTGTGCGCTTACCACTTATATCATGCACATTCTAATCTAACCTCGTTTAACTCACGTGTTCAGCTACAAGAAGCCTTCGCGAAGGGATTACTAAAGCCAGGGTAGCGATCGAGACGAGTGGCAAGCAATCCAAGAATTATGTCGTGAGTGATTCTTTTATCAGAAATTACTACAGTAGATTTTGGAGTCCTTTTATTGTAACTTAACCTAACTTTTTCTGTAAACAAATTTTAGAATCACATGAGGCAAAAATTGGATGAAATAAAGCTGAACTTGCCATGGATCGAGAGGATAGATATGGTAAATGCACTTGCACCATTGACACCAGAATTGACACTTCAAATGCAAGAGCAAGAAGTAAGACGGGCTAAGCAGCTACAAAGGAATAGAAAGTTACCTCAATACAAGCCGTCTGAGGACCCTGTTCTGAATGACTTTCGTAGAGAGAACATGTTTCACCGTCAAGCTCAGGGTACTATTATGGAAGGTATTAATAGGTTAAAAAAGCTTGGCATACCGATATCTAGACCAAATGATTACTTTGCTGAGATGGCCAAATCTGATGAGCACATGCAAAAAGTACGAGAAAATCTGATGAAGAAGCAGGTAATGACGCAAAGATCGGAAAAAGTAAGACAACAATTGAGACAAGGTTGTGAAGCAAATGCAAATCGAGACAACTCTAAAAAAGAAACACGCAGAGGAAAGAAAATTGGAAGAGGTTAAAAAATATCGCAAGGGTATATGAAAGGATTCGATTTCTTGGATGATAAAAAGAAACCGCAAGGTAAACCTCAAGGTAAACCACATGTGAATCGCAAGATAAATCCGAAGGCGCAGTTAAAGAAGGCCAAATTTGATTATGGAGGTAAAAAGCGCTGCAGTAAATGAAATACGAGGAGCAGTTCGGCCGATGTTTCTGAATATAGACGACCAGAGAAACTGAAAGAAGGCAGCAGAGGAAAAGGTGGAAAAAGAAAACAAAGATTAGACAAGAATCGTAAAACGCAAATGAAAGCAAAGAGGAAGTCGTGAAGGATCTTTAGTCAGTAAGTATCGTCATATAATCTCGTAATAATCATATGTTACATATTATATGTTATATGATTATACATATGTTATATGATTATTAAATATTGCGTCTTTTGTACCAAATTATATGATTAAATAAATTACATGATGCTGTTCACTTTCCTGTCTTACCTGTCATCCAGAAATTTAACGAGACATCGATTGAAAATTTGAGGGGTGCACCGTACGTGCACATGCAGGAAGCATACCTATATACTAGTAACTGAATGGTTTAAAGAGATAAAAAAAAACTTATTCTATATGTGGGTTTATTGTATAAATAAGACGAAGTTTAATTCTGAAAATTAATTAATGTTTAAAAATAAAGAATATTAAAATATCACACTTTTATTCTGTCCTAGATAATGAAAGACTTTGGATTTCTTGTAAAATTTAAATAGAATCTTTGAATTAATTTTAAGATAAGACATGCTTAAATTAACTTGTTATTTTAATTCCTGTCACATTGTCGAGTTGAAGCGAAATGATATTATAGATTAAAGCGTTATCTCAAGTGATAATTATCAAACTTGAACTCATCCGAATCGCTCGGTACGAACGCGCTTCACGTCTGTTCAGATTGTCGAAATATGAAGTGGTCCGCAGAATACTGGACAATACGTGTGATTGGGCTCTGAATGTATACAACTTGTTATTCGACGAGCGGAAATACCTTCCCCCCCCCCCCTCCGGAAGGTCTCTACTTCTTCATCACTATTGTTCGGTACAAAATCGGGCGGTAGTTCAAGATCATATACAAATTCCGTGTTGGGAAACAGACCTCCTCTCACTTTCAAAGAAGAACGATACGCAGCCAGTGCTCTTAAGCTTAGCAATGAGATGATTCGGAATACCAACTTTTTTGCCAGCTTTTTTTGTCGCGGTTTTATTTATACATAACCAACACTCAATCCACCACTCACCATATCTATACTATCCCAACACGCCGGCCATGTCTATTTATTCAGACTACGCTTTTTGTAATCATATTGACAAGCCCTTGACATTACATAGCCATTCATATCCACTCTGTATTTTCGAATTCCAAATAGACCTGTCATTTCAAAAAGCATATATAAGATACCGTAATTATGATATTTATTTATCTCATTTTCTTTTAGAACCATTGCATACAAAAAAAAACTTAAACAATAAGGAATTTTCTATTGCTTAAGTTATGGCCTTATCATCTTTATTTTGATTGACCAATTCACCTGACTGCTTATAATTTATTACTTAAGCTTTTTTATGTGTCATGGCTTCTATACTTATATGTACGAATAATCCATCTTAAACAATGGTAGCATATTAAATTGTGCACGCACTTCATAGCATTCCTCTCTCCAGCCTCGTAATGTTACAAACTTTCCACCAGAAATCCATTTCCTTAATACTTTATCGACGCGTGCACTTCTTTTAGCATAATCCCGAAAAGCTGGATTTTTTTTTTGTACATATTCGGGATGTATTCAAAATACCTTGAAAATTAATGTGAAAATTATACATTTTAACAAAAATATAAATGTGTTAATAAAAAAAGAATAAAATAAATTCATTTGAGGATGATTTAATATTTCTTTTATCACATCTGGAAGAACAAATCCGATTTGCTGCCCATCGACAATAAAAGCTCTGCATTCTCCTGTATGTAAACCTAAGGAATAAATATATTCTTTCGTAATTTATAAAAATACTTCTGACAGAATAACTTCTGTCCTACATGTATTGTAATTTTGTCAATATATAATGTAAGAATGAATATTTATTATTATTAAAAAAATTGATTGTGTGTGCTGTTGGAAAATTATGTTCGAAAAAGAGAATAGAGTATCAGCATAAGAAATATTTATATTTTATACAAGTTTCCAAATGTAAACTTAGCTAAGTAGCTGCATTTCTCTCAGAAGTAAGCTAAGTAGGAAATATAATCAAAGTTTCCGCAATACGCGGCGATCTCCCTAAACGAATTTACTCAAAACAAGCATTAAGCCGATTAGGCGTACTAGAGGTAACAAAAAAAGTTTAAAGTGATTTTGGAATAGTTATATTCCGCGATAGACCGTCCATCATCGATGACACAAAACGCGATGATAGGAACGTGGCGGAGACGCGCGCGGCCATCGATAATCGCTTCTGTGATTCGTGTCGAGATCCGAAACGCTTGCCGCGCGGCAAAATGTGATACGGTAACCAATAAGCTAACAGCTCTATGTATTCATTGGTCGCGGCGTCTCATTTTGCCACGCGGCAAGCATTTCCGCGTTGTGGGAATAAGTGACTCAATTGACGAGTCAAATTCTCAAGACAAGCCCACGCTTGTCGTGTGATGTGATGTAAGGTGTAATGATCGACACTTTTCTTGTAACTAATAGCGATGTATTGTATTTTATTGCTGGAACACGAATGAATATCACCGTACAGGATGAGCACCATAATTTATCTGACTTATTTTTCTCTGACGCTGCTTGTAGGCAACTCGCAACCTACAAAATCCCTGGGCTTTCTACACTCCCTGCGCTAGTATTGAGAAACGTAGTGCCCTACATACTCCCCCCCGAGTGACAATGAATCTAAACACTATGCTTATTTACTAGGTTAACAAAATACTGCTTTAGTGACAGGTATATTTATTGGGTCTAAAAATTGGGACCGCGGTTTTTTCATCCGCGGTCACTAGATGGTGATGATGGTCAACACCATCTAGTGACAAAAAACCGCGGATACTTTTTAGATGACCCAATAATTATATGACGAAGGTGACTTTTTTTTGGACATGCATACGTTTTCAAAGCTGGTTGCTTGTTGCTGAACGAATTGGTTGATCGCCCTGCTTCTGGGGTTGCACTACATAAGTCATCGCATATGCCATATGCTGGTTTTAAATTTTCGACCGATACACTGCGCTATGTATGTCAATGTCGAATACTCGATCCGACACACGATTTACGTTTTTGTGAGGGCCGGTGTAGAGACGCTCTAACGCTTTCTTGCTACCGCCCTCTCGTAGAAACACATGGGAACATGAACATAAATCTTTGAATAAAATGCGCGTTTCTTATGCTTATGCTCTACTTGGCTTAACTTTGCGTATATGCTCGCGGAATTCTTCGATGAGCATTTTAGGATTAGGAGTGAAGTCGTCCGGCAGTACAAAAAGCTAAGTATATCAAATAAACCTATTAAACTTCATGGTTTAATAGGTGGCCTTGAGTATTCCTGGAATATTATTTTGAAACATGACACGGATATGTTTTCCTTATTACATGACAAAGAGATATCAAAAGTATTAGGTGTTGGAATTAATTCGTAGCGTTTT